TCATGTAACGAGGCCTTTGACAGATTCTCTTGGGTTTTCAAGGTACACAACCATATCATCTGCAAAGAGAGATAACTTCACTTCCTCTTTTCCTATTTGGATACCCCTGATTGCCTTCTCTTCTCTGATTGCTCAAGCCAGGACTTCCAATACTATGTTGAACAGGAGGGGTGAGAGTGGGCATCCTTGTCTTGTTCCACTTTTCAGGGGAAATGGTTCCAATTTTTGTCCATTTAGGGGTATGCTGGCTGTGGGTTTCTCGTCTAGATGGCTTTTACTATTTTGAGGTATGTTCCCCGTATGCCTAGATGTTCAAGGGTTTTTATCAAGAAGGGGTGCTGGATTTTATCAAAAGCTTTTTCTGCATCTAATGATATGATCATGTGGTTTTTGTTTTGACATCTGTTGATGTATTTAATTACATTTATGGTTTTACGAATGTTAAACCAGCCTTGCATGCCAGGAATGAAGCCTACTTGTCATGATGGATGATTTTTGAGATGTGTTGTTGAATCCAGTTTCCTAGGATCTTGTTGAGAATTTTAGCATCTATGTTCATCAAAGATATTGACCTGTAGTTCTCTTTCTTTGTTGGATCTTTACCTGACTTGGGTCAATGTGATGTTGGCTTTGTAAAATGATTTGGGGAGAGTTCCATCTTTTTCAATCACCTGGACTACCTTCAGTAGGATTGGTATCAGCTCCTTCTTAAATGTCTTGTAGAATTCTGCTGGAAAGTCATCTGGACCAGGGCTTTTTTTTGTAGGTAGTTTTTTTATTACGTAGTTGATTTCCTTGATTGTTATTGGTCTATTTAGGGTCTCAATTTCTTCTTGTTCCAACCTAGGTAGGCAGTGTGATGTCAGAAAGTCCTCCATTTCCTTAAGGTTTTCAAGTTTGTTTCCATACAAGTGTACATAGTAGTCTCCAGTGATCTTTTGTATTTCTTCAGGGTCAGATGTGACTTTAGCTTTTGTGTTTCTGATTGTGCTTATTTGAGTTTTTTCTTTCTTTTTCTTGGTCAGTCTAGCTAGGGGACCATCAATCTTGTTTATCTTTTTGAAGAACCATCTTTTTGTTTCATTGATTTTTTTGTATTATCTTTTTGTCTTCTGTGTCCTGGATTTGGGCTTTTATTTTGGTGATCTGCATCCTTCTGCTGAAATTAGGGTTTTCATGGTCTTGCTTTTCCAGCTTCCTTAGGTGGCTTGTTAGGCTGTTAATTTGTGATTCTTCCATCTTCTTTATGTGCATTTGTAGGGATATAAATTCCCCTCTTACTACAGCTTTCATGGAGTCCCCAAGATTTTGGTAAAATGTTTCTTCATTTTCATTTGTTTCCAGGTATCTTTTGATCTCTGTTTTGATTTCATCATTGACCAAGGAGTAATTTATCATCATGCTGTTTAGTGTCCATGTCTTTGTGAGTTTTGGAGGGACCTTGTTGGTGTTAATGTTTATTTTTATTCCACTGTGGTTCAAGAAGGTGCATGGTAAAATTTTGGTCTTTTCAAATTTTCTTATGATTGTTTTATGGACAAGTGGTCGATCTTAGAATACATTCCATGAGGTGATGAGTAGAATGTGTATTCTGTGGTCTTTGGATGGAGTGTGCTGTAGGTATCAATTAATTCTGTTTGGTCAACAGTCCCATTGAGGTTCCAGATCTCATTTCTGATTTTTTGTCCT